ATCTGTCGAGAGCTCAAACATCCTCCCATTGGTGTGGTGTGATAGTTATGAGAGGGAGTGCAATTAGTCCATGGTTCAAAATTACGAGGTTCGTCGCCGAAAGCCTTCGTGTAGCTGAACAGTACGAGGTTAATATTCACTCACTTAGAACAACAGAAGTCATACTATTGCTACTTAAATTCGAATTACACGTTTAACTAAAACATCTACAATAATACAGTACAAAATATATTTTTACGTAGTAAATAAAGAGTTTTCACTTGTTAGTAATTAGTTTTATTATTTTCCCAAAAATAATAAGTCAGAATTATTTGACGGCACGTCTATACTTCGTTAAACATTTCTATAAAAAATGGCACCTTGATCCATAAAAGTTCGCCCCCCCTTGTCTAGGGAGTGCATGTTTACACATCAGTCTCCAAAGCAACATGAAAAATATTTGGGGCAGATATCGTAATTCTGAACCGTAATAAATTTATGTGGACGACATTGAGCTAATACCCTCTTTCCGCATTTCTACATCACTCCACTGGGAAGAAACAGAACCTCGACAGATTTAAGATGCATCAGCATCCCAGCATGGTGGCTTTTAGTGGCACAAGGCTTCGAATTCCTGACACAATACCCACGAGTCTACGACTATGACCACTAGAATACAGTGTCATATATGACATATTTCTCTTTTAATACTTTCTAAATGACATATTACGAAGTATATATTAGAAAGGTGAAAATGAATAGTTAATAATTTCGAAATAATGATAGTAAATAAAAATTCTGGTGATTGCAACTTTTCCAACGATTCAATAAACTTCCGAACAAATATATTAATAAAATTTAACCAGCACACATTTTTCAATAATCACTATTAATATTAAAAACCTTTTTTTTTTTTTGAAAAATTAGAAATAATTTTAAGATGCTGAAAAATAGGTTTCAAATATTAATTAAACAATAATTTAAAAAGGGGTTTTCCCAAAAGAGGCTTAAAATTTCTCCATACAAGAAAGTCCATGCTCCGCGCATGGCATTTCAAGTATTATGTAGAAGTCTAATGATTTAAAGAGGAATTCCATACAACTCAGTAATCCAGAACTATATATTGCGGAATATTACAAGGGAAAGTCCAATTACATGACGAAATGATACACTTTGGTTGAGTGGTTGGATCTGGATAGAATAATTAAAGACTGTAATTTCCCAGGGACATCAGGATATGGAATGTAGTGCAATATATACTTTACAGGAATTTATAATTACTAATTTCTCAATTCCAACCGTGGAAAGGATTGCTTTGTAGTATTGGTAAATTCTCAAGCTTTTGAATTAAATATGTTTTAGCGTTTTGCAGATTAAAGTACTTATATATCAAGGATTTTATTTGCTTAATTCAGGAAATTAATTTTATGTTATAGCAATACTGTGTTCGTTACGTGATCTGTACATAGAAACAAATTAAAACGATGATTACTAAAGAGTACTTAATCCATACATAATGTTTAACTGTGTGTGTATAAATTTGTTTAATTACTTATGTAGTGCATCAGTTATTTAAATTTTATTTATTTAATCAAGACTCGACAAAAATCGTTTGAAATATCCAATAAAATATTTTTAGCCTTTACTGTTCTTTATATATTTTTCTGATACGTAAAAATATTTCAGAGCTTCAGATTAAAAATATTTAGAATTGCGATAGCATTTATATATGCTATAATTTTGCTTATATCGCGATAAAAAAAAAAACATTATCTTACAAGGATAAAAGTTACTAATTTTCTACATTTAAAATGTGATTTCTTTCTTTGTTGGGCCGAATGTTTTGATATTTTTTTAAAATTATTGTTATTAATATATTTTAGAAAAGTTGTTATGCATTTTTTGATCACAGAGCAATATTCATAACTTTTTTCTTAAAAAATAATTAAGTTTATAATGTATATAATTTTAAAGGGATTTTTAATAAGCATCCATGAACCATTTTTTCCTGAATTTTTTTTTAATCACGCTATCACAAAACCCACCTTTGTGTGTTTGTGTACGATTTTCGTCAAACTTGTAAATCAATTTTTCACTTGTGTGCGTTAACTACTATAAGAAATGTAGCTTATTAAAATCCTTTAACATGAATTATTCATTTTAAATGAAATGCTAATTATTTTTGTTGTATATTTTGACTTAACATCGCTATTTACATCTGATCCAAGTTAAAATAAAAAAAATTAAAAAAAATTGTAAAATCCATTCAATTATGCATTTTTTATTATTATTATTTATTTAAAAAGTGTTTCATATCCCTTTAACTTAAGTTTTCAGCTAAAAACTTTCAAAACAAAATATTTTTTTCTTCCTAATGAAATAAAACAGTACTTAATTCATTAAAAACAAAGTTTCAAAAATTTTAATTACTTGCAAGTTATATAAATATTACGGATCAAACAATTTTCAAATGATAAAATCTTAATTTTTTCAAACAAAGGTTATTTTCAAAATAATTCTTCTGCGTTTAACTTTTCAAGAACACATACAGTAGTAATAATTCTGCCCTAATCTGCTAAAATTTTTGAAGAATATGCAGAGCGATTTATAAAGAAGTATGCACTTTCCGGATAACAGTAACCATCAAATACTAGCACCACCTCAACGAACTATAAGGTAAATGTTCTCGTAAAATAAGCATCTAGATCCTGACGAAGGCAATAGCATGCGCATCATGCAGGGATATTCAACCATTTATTTATTTATTTATTTTGCTGGATCGCAATCATGTGTCAGCCATTTAACGCAGCCCGCAACATGAGGTTAAACGGGAGGAGGGGCAGAAATGCTTTAAGACCAAGATAACATTGGAAATTTAAAATGTGGAAAACTGTTTTGCTTTTTTAATTATTATTATTCTTTTTTTTTATCAAACAAGCGCTAATCCATATTTGTTTTTCACTACAAAACAGTCACCCTCCAAAACATTCGAATATTTTTCTCTTAGAAGGTATGAAAGTTTGTTTAAATTTAGTTCCAAAACATTCGAATATTTTTCGCTTGCAAGGTATGAAAGTTTGCTAAAAATTAGTTCCATCCATAAAATTGTCACTACTCCACTGTTGTCTGTTATCACTAACCATAGCCGTTAAAAATAGAAAAAGAATATCAATACGCCGCCGTACGACATAGACAGCAAAAAAGCAAAACTGATATATTTGATTTCTTCTCAAAGAATTTCTCACCAAATTTTTAATACATTGTTCTTAAATAAGTGAATTGCTCAGAGCAATGGGTCATGATCGGGTCACTTAAAAAGGCTCGATGGTCTGCAGGTTGACTATCGCTGGACTAGTCTGTCAAAATGGTGGGGTTTGAGGATGAAAAGGCTTTTAATGTTTTTGAGTTTAGCAAAATGTCACGGAAGCCACTTTTTTGGATATCGTATCTCTTTGGGCGATGCCTCAATTGCAGGACAAAATTGACAATTTCGTTCTCCAATTGGGTGGTACACCACCATACTTCATGGCCAATGTGCGATAATTCCTCGATGAACATCTTCATCAGTTATGGATTGGATAAGTCGTGGACTACTCCATGCCACTTCACCATTGGCCAGACGAACGTCCTGACTTAACACTTTGTGATTTTTTTCCAGGAGGGTACGCAAGGTATTGGTCAATCGTCCCTACCCATCTGTCGATCTAGGCGAGTTGAAACGGCGTATCACAACCTGTATAAATTAATTTGATTCAGATATCTTAACGCATGTTTGGGCGAAAATGAGATTACTGGCTCGATGTATGTCGTGTGACAAAGGGTTCACACATAGAAAATCTGTGACTGTCTCTAAAATTGCTTTAAATAATCCCATACAATTCTGTTACAAGCAACATGCAATATCATAAATTGTTCTTGATTTATGCTACATTGAAACTGCATACTTCTATATGAATCTCCCTGTATTAAACGATATTTTTATGGAAAGCCCAATTTATGAAGAAATTAAATGTAAAAATAGAAAGTGAGGGGAGAAAAAAACGATAAACAAATGACTAAGTATATATCCAAAACTTTTATTACTAATATTCTTCTTTTAGTTTCGTTTGAAATGAGCGGAATCACTAAACCTGTTTTAATGAAGTTTTGTAGCTTGTCCAATTATTTGAATGCTGCTTTAACTCGGCTACTAAGTGTACATTATCTTTTGATGAACGAGAACAAGAAATATTTGTCCTCGTGAAGAAAAATAAATATAAAATTAAAATACATATTATTTGCTCTGAAAGTTTCCTTTTTGAAGATAATGCAAGAAAAATATAGTTATCTTTCGATCAAGTGAAAACTTTCAAAACGGACATTAACAATAAAAATTAAAACATGGTAACTATCAATCTATTTAAAAGTAGACTAGTATGATGATTATTAACACCAACAAATAAAATGCATTTTCAGGTTCACCAAGAAAGCTGATTTAGAGCTCAAAATATTAAAAGTTAGCGGGTTAAAAATCTGAGATATGGGAACCATTCTCCTATGGTTCTTTTTCTTGTAGTCAGGACACGTTGTGTGTCGTTTTCACTTCCGCCTGTTGTTTAATTTTTTGTCCTTTGATTTGAAGGAAAGAGAGAAACGGTTACACAACTAATTTCCTCTGGAATGGTGAATAGGGTTAGAAAAGAACGAAATGGAACAAAAGGACAAACGTGCTTTTAATTTCAATTGCTTGGGATTTTTTCCTGATTAAGTTCATTCTAGATTACTAATATACAAATGAAACATAAAATTCTGTTAAATGATTGTAATGCATTCCTCTAGTGTAGTTTCTCTTGATTTTGAAATGCTCGAATACTATATTTTGCTTTATGGTTTCAGTGATTTTCTTACTTCTTTTTTGTATTAAATACATTTTTTTAATAAGTATTTCGCATTTTAGAAATAGTTCTGCATATAAGAAGCAGGATATATAAAATATTAAAAAATTATAGTCTTAAACATCACTTCTGCTAAGCATAAGTACCGGCTGGGTGTCACAATTGGTTTTGAACTGGCCTTGGACGACAATGGTTGCTAGTTCGACCCCGGCCCAAGTCGGTGGGTTTTCCTGATGCAGAAAATGGACAGCGTCCGTATCGTATGATTATGCAATATTTAAGAGATCCCTTGAGCACCTGTTTGGCTTGGGGGCTCGCGGCAAAATTAAATTCCGAGAATAAGTTTGCATTGTCAGAAGTCAGGTGCCTCTCTCTGATGAGGAAACTGTGTGTCAAAATTACTTGCGGTAATCAGTATCTAATATGTCGTTCATCAGGTATAGTGGTTAGCGACGATGACTTCTGTATCGTAGGGCCTGGGTTCGAATCCCGGAGAAGACATGGATGTTTCTCAATGTATAGTGCATTCGCTGCAAGGGGGTACTATAAATAGCTGTCGATCCACATGTCCTCTCGTGAGATTGTTGGAAGGGGAAGAGATGTGGAAGGCCCCTGACCACCTCCAGGTATCCTCCCTCAAAACTGGGGTGGTAACGAGCCAAATCGTTCTATCCTCTGTATGGTTCTCAAAGCCACGGCGAATGGCAGGCGCCACTTAGCCCATTACCTTGATGCATTTCGTGGGCCTCGATCTGGTCTTTGCCAATCAGGTGGCATCAGTAACAACAACAGGTATATAATATATGGTACCATATTAAAAAGATATAACAGCTCTCGGGAATTGTGCTAGGTCTGTAATGGTAAAAAATACCAATCCGCAGCCCCATTAAGAAAAAAGGATTCGTGGAAGTAACAGTATAAAAATTCCATTTTCCTCCTCAAAAAACCAATAAATGTATATATTTGA